GTTGAACTGAAAAATTGTTGAAAATCACTCTTTACATGTTGCAGATAATTTATTAGAGATTAAAGACGCATGAACCGATGATAATGTGTTCACATTCCTCACTTCTTCGAACGTTTATATTTATATGCTATTACCTCTTAATCGAAAACAATATTTTCAAATTCGATTTTTTGTCTTTAAACAGAGCTCTGTACGAAACAATTTTAGACTATATTTTCGATTTATTTTTACATGAGAACTCATCTCCTTCCCACCTGTATCACGATTTCCGAAACACCTTGTATATGTACAACAATATAAAACGAAAATATAAATATACATATTTATATTCGTTTTATATTGTTGTATAGACGCGATATTGTATTGCAAGCATTTCTATACTTTCAAACAAGTCTAGCGAAGCAAATTTGTTGAGAAGCTATTCAGTTCGCACCGATCAAGCTCTGAATCTTTCAAATACGAAGTGAAGGCAATAACCAGTAGCGTGACTAGAAGGCGAATCAGCACTCGGTCATTGCAATTTCAAATTTTCAAAACCATTTATTCAAGATGATATTTTTTTGTGAACCGAGTATCATCTTCCTGCTTCATCTCTAGATACGCGATAACACTGGTTTTTCGTATAAATCATGTAGGAAGTCATTAAGCCTTGCCACGTAAAATATTACATACTAGCATTACTCTCACTAAAATTCGGTGGCTTCGTTATGTTTCCTAGATGAATCGTAACCTTGACACCGGTCCAATCGCCGTAGCCAGATGCTCTACGTGGCCGTGATTCCGTAGGATCCGTTGGAGGTGTTTGTGCCACTTCAGAATTGAATGAATAACAGAAACCATATTCGGTCTTTTGCACCTGGAAGATATCGCAGCAATTGCGATCGGCGTTACGCCACCAACAAGAGGACAGCAACTGATCGCAACGTGGCATTACCTCATATAGCACTTGAGTTATGTTGATACCTATTCAATAATAATTACCTTTCAACTTCAATAAGAGAAGCGCAAACATATATATATATTCTATGCATATATAAAATATACACGCATTTAAAACGCTCAAGATAATAATATTAATTTAAATAATGTTATCAAAATTTATATAATTAAATATTAATTACCGACGTTTCACCAGTGTCTTGTTTCTGACTAAAGTTTTGAAGATAAAATTAGAAAAATTAAAGAATAATCAAACGCTATAATTTGATCACATTTGTATGAAAAAGTTTAGGAAGAAATAAATATTTTACCCGCGAGACTATGAACATTTTGATTCTTCAGAAAATCCAGTTCGTCGAAATCCCCGAAGCTCATCATGGAAAGCTTGCCCAATATTTTCCGAAAAGTTTCGAGACTTGTTTTATCCGTACCATTAGGGAAAATTTTTGGTTCGAGTTCGAGGGCTCGATTCCAGTCGACGCGGTCATTCGGACAAAGGGTCACGCTCGGGAAGGGTAGATACAAAGTCCCATAATGCATCGATTCGATGTCAATCACCGTCGGCGCATCCTAAATAAATGTATATAATGCACTCTAAATTTCTTGTAGTGAAATCGCACTTCAAGGGAGTGAAATTTCATTTTTTTTTTAAGTGAGATTTTTTTTACTCCTTTAAAGTAAAAATTCATTCTAAAAAGGGTGAAAATTGTCACTCTTTTTCAAGAAGTGAAATATTTTCACTTTTTTTCAAACATATTATAGTTATATTTTCACTTTCTTAGAGTCAGATTTCACCGTAAGAAATTTAAAGTGTGCATTCGATACTTTAAAGAGTTTAAAGTCTCTGTTAAAAATTATCTTTATACTATCGATATCACAAAAATCTTTAGAAATCAAAAATAATATTCCGAATAATATGTATATATATATTTGAGAGATTATATATACGATATATTGTATACGATTGAAATTTTAGTCTTTTCTTTCACACATATAATTTACCTGGAATCTAAGAGCAAGTGAGTAAATCATGTTGCTAGCGATTGTGGAAGATATTACAAACACGATAAGCCACAGGAATCGTTCAATTACATGTAATTCAGGATTAACGATGTGACGAAGACCATGAATAGTCGTATGCGTGCAAAAATAATTCAATGTTTGTATGATCGTATTGAACTGTTTGCCTTGGCTTTTGTTTCCACGGAACTTGATTCTTGTGACTCCATTTCTTACGACTCTCATTAATTTCCTTAATTTTCTCCGATCAGATTTCATGTCTAAAGAAATGAAAATTAGAAGAGTTTAAAATTCGAAAATTCAATGCATCGAGAAACTTGTAAGAATGTGCAATCTCCAGATGATCAATTCGCTAAAAATTTTTTGCAAAAAGATTACTCCGAAATATAACTCTTTTTATAGAAAAAAAAAACAACAATTCTACAAAGAGATCGGTTTAAAATATCTCCTTTTTAGTTAAAAAAATCGATTTTTCGCAAAATGGATCGCTTTAAAACCGCTATTGTTGTTTGGAAAGATCTTTTGGAGATCAGAACATCCTTAAGAACTTTAGGAATCTTAGAGAAAGATGAATCAATAAATTAAGAGGATAAAAATAAAAGAAATTTCTTCGCTCACTTTCATTTGAATAAACTTCTAGTACTTAACATCGGTAAGATAAATATATCCTTATGGTCACTCCTCGCGGTCAAAAGCAAACTGAAGCATCAAGCACCTTTTCAAAGTGTTCTCGAATGAAAGACGAAAAGAGGTCAAGCATGCCTCGGTCCTCATTTTTTATCGGTATCAGCAATGGATCGTACAAATAAAACCCAATCAATTACAGGTGAGGTAGGCGAAAAGGGGGAAATGGCAGGTGGGAAAGGGTCGAAGAGGTGGCGCGTGTTTGAACGCGCATCCGATGTGATCAGGATAATTCGGTTAGCGTGATTGTTGCGCAAACAATGCCAACACGAACGGAGAGAGCCGCTTCCCCGGCTTCAATGTCCGCGAATAATGAAGAAGCCTCCGGGGGTCGCGATCGCAGGTTTTGATTGCATCCTCTAGTATAATTTGAACGAGAGAAATCAGGATTCGTTGATTCGTTCGGGCGACATCACGTCGGTGAAAGCTATCGACGTTTCGGCATTCAATGTCGATCTTTCCAGTTTGGCGAAATTCTCTACGAATTCGATTTCAGAGACATGCGATATTCGAGATGACTCACATCAACTCTGATAATTTTTTTAATTCTCTGTAAGTAAAATGACTTTCTCTCAAATAAATATTATTTTATCGGATTAGATTATTGAATTATATATACATATTAGAAACTCTGTCATTTATTAATTATTTTCATTATTTTAATTATTTTCACTTATACAATACTTTTTATACGATAACTTTTTTATTACATATATTTTTTTAATTTTATATCCTTTATACATTTAGTTCAATATCATAGCTGTAATAGATTCAATAATAGACTTTTTTAAATATCCTCCGAAAATAATAATGAGCTTCAACTTGAACAAATTTACGTTGCTCAAGACGCTCCTATTTTAAAACAATATTCGAGGATTAAATGAGTATGAGTGAATACGTGATGGCAATTTCTCGTTCGAACCCGATGATGCAATCGATGCCACACTGTTGGCGCTTCGTTCTAGTCTGTGCTTCATTATCCTGGGGATGAAACCGACGTTCTATTAACTACGCGGCTGCAATCGCTCTAATATTAGTTTCGCTTAAACATCACAGGTTTTCATTCCGTGCGCACATCGTATACACATGCCCCCGTACTAGCTTGCAAGCGAATTGATTATATCGCTATAATGAGAGATAATTTGTATCTTAATGATCTTTATGCAAAATATTATGTTAACAATTAAAATTATAAAAGACAAAAAATAAAAATTAAGAAATCTGAAAGATCGTGATTTATTTTATCAACTTGACTCTTATTGATTACTATGTTTTTTAAATAAAATTTTAAATAAATCGCTCCATTTAAATATTTTTTATTGCATAAATTTTATATTGTAATCTCTACATATGTGAAATTTTTTACCTTATTCTTTGTGCACTACATAATTAGAAATATACAGTGTCCAAGAAGTTCCGGGACGACCAAATAACTCCTCAGAAAAGCGTTATAAAAAAATAAATTAAAGACAAAAGTTGTAGGATTCAAAAAGATCTATTTACTGATCTTATCAGTTTGACCTTGGATGGCGTCGCCAAGGTCAGGTCAAGGTCACATCAATTTTTTTTAAATAAAACACATTTTTATGTGATAATCTAACAAGTGGTCAAACAAAATCTAATAGTTGTCAAGAGCTTTTCAAAACACTGTAATACAGTTATTTTTCATTAAGTACTTTTCCAGTTATAAAACTTATTAAAGTTACAATACCGTCGGCATTAGCATTATGCAAGGTGTCCGACTGACGTAAAAATGAATTTTTAATGCAAAAATGAAAATAAGAGATATAACCTTCATTTATTACAGTGTTTTGAAAAGCTCTTGACAACTATTAGATTTTGGAATCAAAAGTAGGGTATTCCATTTACAAAAATCGACCTGACCTTGGCAACGCCACCCAAGATCAAACTGATAAGATCAGTAAAAATCTTTTTGAACACTATAACTTTTGTTTTTCTCGATACCGCTTTCCTGAGGAGTTATTTAGCCGTCCCGGACAAACTTTTTGGACACTCTGTATATGGATGTATTTATACGTCTACGAGTGACACATTTATATGAACACATATGAAAGCACACATCTGTCTTTTGAAATCTTTCATCTGGAATTCACCGACCTGCAGCACGCATGTTCGCGTAAATTGTGCAATGATGGAGCTGAAAATTCACACGTAATCGACGGCGACAACTCGCGAAAAAACTCCAACAACATCCACAATTTTCTCTCTATTCATCGTCTTTCAATTTTTTTCTGCTTTTTTATTCTCTCTTCATTCTTTTTATTTACCGTTCTGATATAATTGGCTATTTCCATTAATTTATTCAATATTAAGTATCTTAGTTTTAACAATGATTCAACAAAGATTTCTGTTAAAAACAACATAAATACATCTATTATCTTTATCAGTTTTATGTTTATTTTAGCTATTTAGATATTTGTTTTAACGATAATTGTTTCAGCGTAATAAATAGTTCACTCTTCGTCTCTCATTTGGTTTTACCTCTGAGATGATTATTTTGATTAGAGTTATAAATTTCTCTTCTTTCTCTTTAAAATATTTTCATTTCTCTGTTCAAGTTTTTTCTCATCGCTTGCGGGTAAAAGTTACTATTATACATATATTAACTCCGATTGTATAAATATGTTATAATACTGCTGCATTAGTTTCAATGTCGAATCAACATGAACGTTTACTTTACAAACAAACAAGTCACTTTAATATTCCGCGGTTATATTTGCGATTTTTTTAAATAAAATTTCTTAAACTTTCTTTATTTTTCCGTACATACATGTATGTATACTCGCGATCACATACACATATAGATGCCTCTTTAATATCTACTTATAAAATAATTAAGGTAGACGTTTCCTAAAATAACCTTTTCGATAAACAATATATTTAAAATGCAATAACAAATATTTTGCCTTAATAGCTTTCATAATTATATATTTAATTATATATTTCCTTAATGATAATTATTAATATCAAATTATTACATAAATTATACACTTTCTTAATAATTATTCGTTAATATCAAATTATCCAGTGTGTTTCTCCTAAAATATTAAACGACTTAGGCACCCCATCTTCTACTCAAATAAATTATAAATGTCGTCAGCAAAATTCACTTGTGTTTACGGTGCTATCCATCAGGACCCAAACCGACATACTGCCTCAGAATTTCGGGAGACAATCATATTGTGTATTCAGAACTGTTTTATACATAATGTCCAAAAGACATCGTATTTTTTTCTTCTACAGATTTGTAAGTAAAAATATAAATTTTATCTTTTATCAAGATGGCATTAATTTATATGTTTATCGTAGATACATAAATTTCGAATTGGACATTGAATTACTGAATGAAAACAGTGGCGATAATTTAAAAACGTTCAAGTATTTCTTGCGTACGTCAGCATGAGAGTTGTGTACATTTGCATATTGTTATTGTAAATTTCAATATGCGGCAATAGGTAAGTCAATGATTATATTTAAATAGTAATCTATCATCCGCTTGTCGCAATTTATTATGTTGGTACCGGATAAGGATAACATATAATACATAAATTATCCATAATCATTTTTATCGATGTACTCAATTTATTCTACTCTCATTTATTCTATCGAACATATAATTTTAACAAATTTGTACACTCTATATACATATATATTTATGATATATTCAATACTTGGTAAAACTTTTCTCTCTCTCTCTCTCTCTCTCTCTTCTTTTTTTATATTAATCTTAATCTTTATATAATTAATCTGTTTATATAATAATTAAATAAATCATTTTTAGTACAATACTTTAAATGTTATGCATTATGGGAAACATTTTTATTTTTAGATTATTCAAAGATTTTATTATTTAAGGAATTTGTAAGAGAAGAGAAGGAGAGAGTATCAATATTTCCAGTATAAAAAATATATTTTATTCGATAATAAATAGAAAACAAGAATTAAATAAAAAAATATTAGACAATATTACGAGAAACAAACATAATTGTAAAAAAAAGATTTGTTTATTATAATTGATTTATTGTAATGTATTTCTTTGTTAAATCTTTGAATTTATATTTTAAATATTTGGAGAAACATTGTAATTCATACAGAAATATCGTTTGCATGATTTGCGACTTGTGAACCGCACGCAAAACACACTGTTGGTTTCACCGTGAATACATGTACTTTCATAAATACGGAGTCATAATTAACGTAGTACTGTATGTTAATGAGGTGTCGGCTTACGCTGAGAGAGAAAAAATTTTGATTCTAGCTGGAGAGGATAGGTCGGAAAGGAAAAAGAGAGGAAAAATTATTTGCGCATCTTGTTTAAAAATTAATTGATAATTATACACATTTAATACTATGCATTCCAAGTTAGACACAAGTAACTTATATGTTTAAGAAGAATTTTAAATAAACATTTTTTTTCACAAAGAGATAATAAATAAAAAATGTATATTAAAATATAGCATTATTAATTATTATTGCGTGAATATGAATTAACTACTTAATATCTGTCATTATAAGCTTCGCTTTCAGTATTTTTCGGAATCCTACATTCGAAA